AATTTTTTGCTGCGAACTGGTTTATTTTGGGCAAAAAACCCAGGAAACATTTTTTGTTTAGAATGAAACAGGCTCTCGGAAATTTTAAATGGTAAACAAATAATAAGACAAAAAGTTACATTGGAAATACATTTAGGGGTTGCGTTTTCCACCCCTTACAACCATGGGGTAAACCAAATAAATTTCTGGCTAAGTGTCATTTTGGTAGTACAAATTGTCAGGTTGATTTCAATATTATAATTTTTTTAGTGCTTGTGAAAAAAATTGTTATATGTTGTTATGTACCCCCTTTAAGGGGCTATATCTTAACAAGGGATGCCCCAATGAAATTTCTTTATATGAAATATCCTTTTTTTCGATGAGGAATAACTTCCTTGAATGTTTTACACTTATTTAGTTACACCCTGTATAGATTGTTGAAATAATTATTAGATTTATCTGACTATTACATAAGAACACATTGTAAAATTAATTTAAGTGTAGTAGATAAAAAATGTCTTAATGAAATTTCTTTATATGAAATATCCTTTTTTTCGATGAGGAATCACTTCCTTAAATGTTTTACACTTATTTAGTTACACCCTGTATAGATTGTTGAAATAATTATCAGATTTATCTGACTATTACATAAGAACACATTGTGAAATTAATTTAAGTGTAGTAGATAAAAAATGTCTTAATTTAGTTTATTTTTCCACATGCATTTTTATGTCATGCACAAGTTCTATGAGATTCAGTGGCTTGACATGTTTATTTCTGTATTCCTTTTTGTTTATACAATGTATATGTATTTCATTCTCTGAAATAAACATTATCATTATTATACTTTTTCAAAACACGTTGTGGATTTTCCCATAGTTTTAATGATATCGAAACTTTTATCAGATTGATTCAGTGCCCTTATATAGCCAGAGGAAAGTTTCTGGATCGAATTTATTGTTGATTCGTTGATTGGAAGGAATGTGATGAAGTATATATTTCTTGAAGTATATATCTTACCTGTTACATTGGGTAAATATGAAAGGCCGTCCATCACACCTTGATATGAAAATTGATATAAATAAACTGGAGAAAACTTCGAAGCCAGTTCAGCGTGGCGAATTACAGGTGTAATGAATGTATCACCACTCAGGAACTAAGAAAACTTACGTTTTTATGTCCCAAATTTATTTTTTCAACTCATTTTGACTCAATATCAAAGAAGGACCCTAATTTTCAATCGAAATTTCTTGCTTCAAAATATCAGCTTCTTTCAAAAAATCGGTATGCTTTTTGTTCGTTGAAATATCCACTTTCTGATGGTATAAAAAATATACATTACAGTAGTAAATGTTCTGAGAAAATGCAAAAATTCGAAAAAAACTCAAATTCGAATTTTTTTTCAATCATTTTGTACAATTACTCAAAAAACGTAAGATTCTATGTTACGTTGATGAACGAAATAATTGTAAATCGAAATAAACCACTATAATTAACAAAGAAATAAGTTATTAAAGTTAATATTCAAAAAGACATCCACAATATTCTGAAAAGGTTGTAGAATCTTCTTTAAATGATATTTGTAGATGCCCATTTATTGCGCTTCCAAAATAATTTATATACCTGTGTGACCTACAGAACATTTTAGCCCATTTCATAGATAAGTGAGAAAGGAGCTAAGAGAATCTGGGCCTTACATTATGGCAATATTTTCTGGAATTATTGGCAGTAATTCTGTAAATTGCCACGAAGCATATGAAGAAGGAATTAATTTTGGCAGTGTAAAATTTAAAAACATTTCAATTTTCCGTTAAAGTAAGAGGAGATATTATAGCCATTGATACATTATTGCTATTTCAAAGGATATCGTTAACGATAAACAGTAAAAAAGATATAGAAACTTATTTACAATACGAGCTTGCACCTTTTCCACTGTCATTTTTTACAGAAAATGGCCTCAGGAAAAATGTAAAATTTCAACTCTACGAATTATTTGAGAATGTGAATAGACCAACGCATTCTGACGGCATAGTGCATGTCGTCGACGATGGATTTTTACTGCACAAAGTAATTTGGCAGAAAAATGAAACGGTGGAAGAGATCATGAATAAATATTTGGAGTCTCGTGGTGGCCGTGGTAATAACGTCCCTCTACAAAGAAGGTACGCGGATACTATGTGCTATCGTGAGGCTTTTTTTTTGTGTTGTTATAGTCCATTGTAATGAATATTGAAATTTATGAAAGTTTTTAAAAAGTGAAGTTTGAGGGCTGTATTATTCACGCCGGTATCCAGGCAGGGGTGGTTCGGATAACCACGTAAAGGGACTTTGTATGTGAAGTCAAAAATCCGAAAGTCTTCCGAAGAGGAGGCAACATTGAGCAGGAGGCGATAGTAAAAAAGTACTGTGTTTTTTTTGTTATAAAAAGTGTGACAAAAAAAGGGGTGGCAGCATTGCTTCGAGCAAGACCGCTGCGCCCCCGACGAAGCTTTTGTCAAATTGATGTCAGTTTGATAGGAGGAGCCTGGGACAAATGCACCCGAGTGGGAAGCAACGTCCATTAACTTAGAGAGAGAAAGAGAATAAATATCTGCACTATGTAGAAAAGCATTACGCATCAATCAGCTATATTGTCTTTGATGGGTACCCCGAAATCAAAAAATCAGTTAAAGTCACAACAGTACCACCAGCTGCTTCAACTAAAAGGGGAGAATATAGTCGTAGAAAAACTTCAGACAATATTCCAGAGTTTGATTATCAAAACCATAGAAAAATTGTTTTTCCGGTTGTTGTTCCGGTTGAGATACAACATCTGGATTTGCCAGAAAAGAAAAGAAAAGTATCGTAAATTCATTATTAGACGTTAAAAATTTGTCAAATTTGGCCAATGTTTTTTATAAGAAAGATGTAACTAAAGAAGATGTGAAAAAATTGATTACAATTAAAGAAATCTGAATCAATTTAGATTTCACAAATATCAATTGGCAAAAATCAAATCATCTTTCATTTTGTCAAACCTCCCACCCACAGAAGGAGCAGCAGAACAACATTGTTACAGGGCATATTATCAGCTTCAAACTTAGTTGGGCAACGAACTGACAGATACAGATTGAGGCTGGATGCAACATCAACGTGGCATTATGCCCAAATCTACAGAAAACGAATTAATTTCGGAAGTATTGATTGAAACTATTTGCTGCAGCTGTGGAACTAGATATAACAGTTTAGAATGTGGCTGCCGAAAACATGGTTTGAATTGCACAAATTTATGTTCAAATTGTCATGGTTCTGAAAACTGATGCAATATAGAAGAAGAAATTGTGGATGAGGAACCAATGCAGACCGGAAATAATATTGGAGATGAAGAAAGTGATGATCTTTGAAGATTTCAAAGGTCACCTAGAATTGGAAAGGTTTGTCGAATCTAACGATGAAGAAATGCCATCACAGAGACAAAAACTATTGAATGAGTGATTAAAATTCAAGATAAGGTATCAATAAAAAACAAGAATAACGTTTTTAAAAATATTATGATTAATAACGTAATCAGAATGAAGTATCTAAATTCAATAGTACGATTTACATGTATATTTATATGATTTTCTATGACATGGATGTGATTAAAATTTAATAAATGAACTTTTCAACTGAATAAAATTTCAGGAATCACATTTTTTTGATGAAATTGTACATGAAGATTGAAAACATTTTTTTGAACTTGAGTTTTTTTAAATACATTGCATTTTATGAGAGCATTGATAGTAATATATATTTTTTACACCATCAGAAAGTAGAGTACAAAACTGATATTTTGACTCGACAATTTTCGATTGAAAATTATGGTGTTTGATATTGAGTCAAAATAAGGTGAAAAATTAAATATAATAAATCAAATGAATTACAGTGTATACATAAAAAGGTAAGTTTCCACCAAATTTCGTAGACATTTTGAAAAAGATAAAAATAAAAAACCTAAAACTAGGTTCTTTAAATTTTTCACATAAATTTTGAGGTTATGTGAAAAAAATTGTGAATACAAAAAATGTATATCTTTTTATCACCTACAGTTTTGCCTTTTAACTTTTTTCCATATCCCCCTCCTTTTCTAAAGAGTTTCATCCTACTGTTAATTTTTTGGTTTCAAAAATTATCGACCCTGATCTATTATTGGGAGGACAATTATGGTGTGCATTAACTGAGAATCGATCAAATCACGTTGCTTAACTAGAGTTTTTCAGATATTTGAAAACTAATTTCAAACTATAAATGTTTACACACTGTAGTAAAATTTATTATTTCATGAAAAGTTTTTTCATATTTCAAAAATGTTTGTTACGCCCCTGATTAACACCCTGATGTTAATTGTTCAAGGCCACTAATGCAGTCGTGTGACGATTCAGTTTTACAATTAAAAGTTTAAAGTGAATCAGCTAGGTACAAATTAATTTATGGTCCACCGAGTAAAGATTCAACAGAAACAGTAAAACAGTGTTATTTGTACCACTAAATTCCAAATCATTCGAACGGGAACAGTCTTCGATCGATTTGTTAGGATAAACCGAGTGGGGAAAGTCATCTATAGTTTACTATCAAAAGTGATGTAGTAATAAAACCTCATTATACACATTCAAAAATGAAGTATATACAGAAAATACATGAAATAATTGGGTTATTTCAAAAGTTTTGACCGTTTTAATGTCATGTGTTTTTGTAGCTCCATATCCCAATAAATATTCGTTCTGCAATCGGGTCAAAACATTAGGGCAGAATCCTATTGTGAGGAAATCGACGAAATTCAACAAATTTAGCGTCGAAGTTTTGCCCCACCCACCATATTTCCCAGACCTCTCGCCAACTGACTATCATCTTTTCAAGTACTTCGATACCTTTCCCACCAGTAGAAACTGGGCCGCCGACTCCATCGAATCCCCAGCACACAATTTTTGTGCTGACGGAATTGATCGACTTGTGTCACGTTGGCAAAAGTGTACTTACTGATTCGAATGGCGCTGCTTTCGGTTAAATCGAAAAGTATGGTATGCACTGAGATATTAAAGTTTGAAGTAAACTCATAAAAATGGGCACAACTTTCAAAACAATCTCATAATTTTCCAAAGAATATGGAGAATTTTCTTAATATAATAATATTGTTCAACAATTTTATGGAAGTTCTAGCTTCAGCGAAGGAACATATTGTAAAGAAATTTTTTTTTCACAAAGTGAATAAAATGTTCAGAACGAATGTTGTAGCAGAAACGAATGTATTTGTAACAATGTCGAAGTAATTCACAAATAAAGCTATTGAAATGTTGATCGATACTGGAAGTTCAAGATCGATATTTTAACCGTCTACTGTCAAGAAATTATTTTCCATACCTGCTCTTCCAGAAATAACTCAAGAATTGATTTCATCTTATTTGATTTCCACGACTTCTTTGGCAGTGTTTTAGGAATATCATATTCAATAACATCTGACGGAAACCATTAGATTTGGGATTATAATAGAGCCCTCTCAGGTATAAATCTTATATTATTCAAATGGTAGTTAGTAAATATCAGAAAAAATATTATAGGCGAGAATATATTATAGGCTAGTATTACAATAGTAATACTTTGAAGTGATTAAGTAAATAATAAATACATTATTTTGATGTAAAACAGTTATCGTAATACATAGACATCTGGCCGGGTAGTATCTCAGATTTTGTTATTTACTGATGCTTGTACGCACTGAATACTTCTGCTCTGATTAATATAAGTTTTTGAAACTATATTAAGTGGAATGTATCAATGGCAGATCTCGTCAATTACTTTCAAAAACTATTATTTTTAACATTTTCAAATATGTCTGCCACAATGTTGAACGCGGGGTAATGTTCAGCCATTATTATTTTCCGTTCACAATAATAATATATTTCAAAGTATCAAAACGACAAACGTCGTCAAATGCATTTAAAATTACTAAAAAATTGAAACCTGCCCTACCTGCGCACTCACCGCGTCCACCACTTTGGGCTTAGTGAGGTCCCATGTCATGTACGGTAGGTATAGGGGCCTCAATGTACAAAAACCTAAGTCTGGTCAAATACATGCAGGTAGCCGCTCATTGGCTCTTAGACTATACGTATCTCCTTCACACAGTATGAGAGTGAATTGAAGTGACGTTTGGGTGGGGATATTGCTCTCGCGATCTTTCGATTTTGTTCGATAAACTCTTCCGTTCGTTCAATTTTCCAATATGACCGCTGTGACAACCAAACCCGTGAGACAACCATACATGGTCTCCCCTAAGTAATAAAATTTCTTCGTATCCTCACATTTCAGGGAACACTTGATATATTCATTCCGCTAGTATTGACAACAACTTGAACAAATATCGCTGATTTGATACGTACAGACCACATGAACGAGAAAACTATGCTATACTGAAACTTTATATACAATTTTTAGAGATAAATCAACATTCACCTTGAAAGTCAAGCACGAAATTGAAGCAACGACGTACGAAATCCCCGTACAGAAGTCAAAAACGTTTTGCACTCTACTACTATTGAACATTTCTGAACGAACCATTGTATAGTGAAACACGTAAATTGTTCAGTCAAAATCTTATAGCTTTGACGCCTGGTCATATTACATGTTCTGAGCACTGAACTACATCAACTCATATAATTATATATCATTTGACGATGAAATAGGTGAGACGACCTCTCTGTTGAATGGACATAAGTTGTCTGTCCAGACAATTTCTGTGGCAATTGTCTAGCATAATAGGTGTGATACTAATACATGCACCTTTTTATTTTTTCGAGGTGGTCGATTTCTGTACTTGGTGTTGTATCCCCAGACAAAAAAATCTAAAGGAGTAAGATCTGGGGATCGAACTGGTCAGTTAATTGGTCCACTGTTTCCAATCCATTTTCATGGGAATATTGCATCTAAATGTTCCCTTACTATTGCTGCATTATGGGGAAGATAACCACATGTTATTATCGGAAATGAAATCAATTTGTTCGTGTTTAGCCATATAATGTTTCAGTTTCTAGTCTGATTTTGTCGCGACTGCCTCAATATATACGCTGGGTATCATTTACTGATTACTACTCTCCTCTTTGTTAGTTTTTAATCAGTGGATCCAAGAATCGTGTGTATTGAGTAGACGTAATGAGGCAAAACTGATCACTTCTGCATATAGTCATAAGAGTGTCTATCATCATTTGTAGTTGAGTGTGGTCTACATTAAGATGTCTATACACTGGAATGCGCTTTCATTTCATAAATTATTGTAGACCAAGTGTGGTAGTTCTGACATTGCCGTAAGATGTTGCCAATGGTTTACATTTTTTTTATTTCAGTCATCAATTTATCGTTGATGAATGATATGGCAGATACTATTATTTTTTGAGAAAGGATTTTGACTTTCTATTTCTTCGTCTTGGTACAAATAGAAATGGGAATCTTCCAAAGAGAGAAAGGAAGCAATCAATTAGAAAAAGTAAGTCTAAACATATATCATGCACTGTATCATGTACCATGCAAAGAAGTGACTTTCAGACACAAACTGGAAGAAAAAGCCCTCTCGAAACAGCTACCCACTTTACGAACTCAGATCGCTCGCAATCCATTTTTCCTTTAATTTTTATAAAATTCCCCTCCTTTTCTAATGGGTTTCATCCTACTGTAATTCTTTTTGTTTTCAAAAATTATCGACCCTGGTCTACCTGTGTTAGAAGAAATTCATTCTGTGAATAATTCATCAAGTTCTCGTAGATTCATTGTCAGTCACCAAGATATTACAACGAAAATTCTAGAAAGGATTTTATGATACAGTATGAAAAATTACCAGGATGAGTATTTTGTTTTGAACTGAATAATCCATTTAATTTCCTACAATTGGGAAAAACTAACAAAACAAATAATATTCACCCTAACAAATGCTCCAGGATCATTCTTGAATGTTCCATTTGTATAAATAGATTTATATTTTGAAGCTGCAATTCCCACATCATTGTCTGCCACATGCAGTCTTGAATCTATAATATAACTTGCATTTTGATCAAATGAGCCTCCTCTCCTTGCAATTTCCTCAACAGTCACTGGAAATAGAATAATAATTTTTCAGTAATAATGATAGGTATTCTGAAACAGAAGCAACTATTTTCGCTCAAAAAAACACTGTGAACTCAAAGAAGAGTCGGAACCCCGCTGCGCATTGTAAGAACTATATATAAGATTTGAAAGGGTTATATTTTTAGGAGTGATTAATTTTTTGGGAAAGAAAGTTTTTGGCTTTCTACTACTCCATCTGATACAAAAAAATGGATGAGAGAATCTTCCAAAGAAAGGATGGATTAATCAATTTGAAAATAAGTAACTCTATACATGGATGTGTAGATCATGCAAAGAAGTAACTTTCAGACACAAACTGAAAGAAAGTCCTCCTGAAACAGCTACTTTCATATAAACATTGAATTACACGAAAGAAAAAA